TCACTGAGTTACGCAAGCCCCTTCGCCACGACAAGGCAGTGATCCATGAAGGGGACAGCTGGGCATATCCAATGCTTATTACGAAGAACATTTTTAGCTTCTCATGATTGATACAATAAGATAAAATTGCAGTGATGGATGGGTGGATTGGGGTAAAGTGATTTTTTTCCCCCTCTAAATGAAAAAGTGGCCTGTCTGAACCTACTACCTGAGAAAACTAAGTTGCTTTTTCAGCATTCCCCAACTATGTTGCCCTCGGGATATGTTGTCTTCAACTCTCACAATTTTAACCAATGGCCATACTGGTTGGGGAATTCTGGAAACTAAAGCCCCATATCCGGAAAGTGCCAAGCTTAGGGTAGATTGTGCTAATCCATGTAAATATTTAGTCAGAACCAGATTTTACTAACACAGTCTGCTTACCTGCCTCGACTTCCAACACTAGAGGCACTGGGTGAACGCACTGGAGGATGGACACCAGAAACAGTAACCAAACCTAAATCATCAAGGAAAAGGGTTAGAAAGAAATCTTGACTGCACTTTAAACTATTAGTAAATTATGTATAATAGTGCAAAAACAGAAAAGTATGAAGAGTGAAAGGTGGTTATTTGTAGGCAGTTTCCCTGCTTACAGAAAGGAAAGTGAATGCAGCTATTTCTGAATGGGGATGAGAAATATTTTCACTCAAGCCTCATTTATGCCTCAAGTCATATAATTTGATTTTGTAAAATGCTACTGCATTCTTTTTTTTTACTTAACAAAACCCAGAAACTAAAACAAATATCCATTCTTCATGGCTGCAGAAAACAAAAACTTCCAGTGCTCAATATGGAGTGTTTCATTCTTTCAAAGACTGTTTCATTTTTTCATGCTCTAGCTGCTAGTATCTTTTTTCAATTATCATCATCATTGCCTTCATCATCGCCATAAATCTCTCCATTTTAGTTCTGTTTTTTTACTTAAGCTAAGAATCTCTACTGCCCATATTCATTTAATTCTACTATATATGGTTAAAATTCTTTATCCTCTCTTCTATTATTACTATGTTATCTTTTTTTAAAGAAGCTTTACAAATGTTTCTATAACTGTACTTTCACTATAGCTATTTGGCAACTAGCAAAAGTGTTATTTCTGCACCAGCTATGCTCTTTCCATGTGGTTATATATTTCAATTAATGTTCCCCTCCCAATGCTTTAGATCTTGTTTGTGCCTAACAATGTAATAATAAGAGTTTTAAAAATAATAACAGCAGCCATACCTGAAAGTCCTGGAGATGGAACTGAAGAGTTAGGAGACTGCACAGTTTTGCGCGAAGATGGCTTGGTTTGGGTCTGCTCTGCAGCTGCCTCTCTCCTCCCAATACTTTCCAATGGCACACTTCCTGAACAGTCAATCTTAATATAATGAGAGACGGTAAGGATATCAGATAGGAAAACATTATCCCACTACTTTTCAACAAAAAGCAATTACAATTTTCTCTAATAGCAAAGTGGATAGCCTCGTGTTGAACTATAGAGAAATTTGGGACACAAGACATACAGGAAATAGAAGGTTAAGGGCTACACAGACGCAAGCACTTAACTGGCTGGAAAAGTCATTAAGAGCATAAACAGATAGGAACTTGATCATTAATACAAAACTTTTATCTGCTATACTTCTTAGCTTGAAAAAGTCACAGAAGAGGATTAGAATATTAAAAGGCACTTCTAGAATGTGCTCTAAAAAGAAGTCACTACTTTGTGCAGGTAGATATATCTTAATCCCAAACTGTATGGCACAAATCCACCAAGTTTGTATTAGAATAATAAAGCATGCTGGAATAATAAACCTTTAAAAAAAGACAAGAAATATAGCACCATCTCACATCTGGTAGAGAAGGCAATGTAAAGGAACCACTCATTGTTGAAGTCAGATCAATCATAGCTGGAGCAAAAGTCTTCCCATCATTTCCAGCAGCACTATTAATAGTAGGACTGGAAGGAGTTGAAGTTGTACTGCTAGCGCTTGAGGAAGTAGCCGAAACTTGACCACTGTTGATCTGCCACTAGAAAAAATGAGGAGGAGGAGGAGAATTAATTTCATAATCCATGAACATGAGATATTAAACCTGCATGAAACATTGTGGATAAGGATTGACAGAACTGTGATTAATTAAAAATATTAAAGTTGACAAAAGGTAGCTCTGAAACAAAACTGCAAAAATTATTGCAAATAAGCAATAAATAAGTAAACAAGCCAACAAAAAGCATTACCTCCTTTCCAATAATAAAACTATCAAGCTGACTAATTCCCCTTTCTTCCAGGTAGAAAAATAGACTTGATAACATATTTTAAGTTCTTTTTTGGGTGGTGGGGGAATATTATTACAGATCAGATGAAGAACTTACCTGTTTAATGGCTTGCTGCGCCAAAATTGCCATCTGTAGTGGAGTTGGCTTTACAGGTGCATGTGGTATGGTCTGATTTTGAGGAAATCTCACTGGTTGAGCCAGAGGAACTGATCCAATGGATTTGAGATTGTGATTCTGAAAGTTAACCAAACGTGGAGGTGGCTGCTGGAAAGACAAAAACAACATTCTTAGCTAACCATTCATTAGTTTAAACAATTCTTTTCCTAAATTTTGAGGAAAGAAATTATAAAAGATAAATCATTTAGGGGTGGTATTTATTTCCAACATAAAGCAATACAGCTTGATAAATTAAGAGTTTCATAATCTGTTTAAAGGGGAAAAGATATATAGAAGAATGACGAGTGGCTTAAATCTATTAATTTTTTTAGGAAATCTAGAGGGGCCCCTGAACTCCTGGAGTACGAAAAATTAATGTTGGCAGTTATATAGTGTGGTAAAATGCACAAAATGCTAATCCATGTAATAATGTTTTTGGTGCTACCTTGCTGACTTCAGCTTTTCCTCTGAACAAAGTACAAATAGCTAAGTGTCTTCTACTCTGGAGTTGCCCTAACTTACCTGAGGAGGAGGAGGAGGAGGTGGAGGTGGTGGTGGTGGTGGTGGAGGAGGAGGAGGAGGAGTCTGGTGCATGGGCCCTGCAATTCTAGGATCTGGGAGCCCCACAGGACCTGCCCTCCGCTGTGCCTGCTGCCTCTGAGCAAGCACCTGCTGCTGCATGTGCTGAAGTCGAAGTTGAGCTAAACTGATCTGCGTTGGGAACTTGGATAGTTGATTTGAAGGTAAGCCACTTTGTGGCTGAATGTTTGGTTCCATCACAGGGCTTTTAGGCATATGTGGTGGGATTTCACTATCTTCAATTACCAAAGAACCTGAATAAAGATAATTATATTTGTAAGTTAAGATTTTACTATGGATAACTCTATCACAATATTAGATATTCTTTCTGGCATCAGTCATTGACAACTGTCTATGCTAAAAATCCTTTATTAATCTAAAGCTACTTTGTTGGACATACTTTTATTTAATTGTCTGAAACAATACAAATGCAGTAAGATATTGGTCAGGTATTTACAAACTGCCAAGTATATAATACTTGACAAACTTCCAATTAATGTGGCAATCTATTAAATTTATGGGGAAAAAAACAACTTTCCTATACAACATCACTTCAATGTACAAAGTTGTACGCTTTTGGATACATAGTTGTAAATGACAAATACAGTAGACAATGCTAGTGGATAGCTGGGGAACCTGTAGTCAATTGAGGCATTGTAACATATGCAAATAGAGCAAAACAAGTTGAATGTAACCAGAACATACACAAAGAATATACACTGCCATACAGTTTTATCTCCATATAGGACTTCCCACGCTAGAGATAGAATGGATGGCAAACCAAAATGAAAAGTGTGCATCATTACTCAGAGATGGTATTTAGTTCATAAAAATATGTATTCTACTTATTTCAAAAGAGTACTTAAAATAAATCAATTACAACAACTATTTCACATGGTAAATATATTGAGTAACATCAAGTTTCTACTATTAACAAAACTAAATGGAGTTCATCATACCTAAGTTGAAAATATTTTGGGCCCAGAAACTAGGATCACAGTGAAATTGAATAGTAGCATTAGATACTGGTAAGGCATCACACCTTGCTCTAAGAAGGTATCGTAACCGGTATGTAATCTAGAAGAAGAATAAGATTATGTTAATTTTAAAGTATCCCAAGTATGGCAGAACACTACATATGCCTTGTAGCTGGTGAGACATGGACAACAGCACATTGGTCTGCAAAGTCACTTTACATTACAGTAGATGTCCTAGCAATTTTCATGGGACCATCTGTCAACAACCAAGGAATATGGAAGATTGCAATTTGGAATGTAAGGGGAGCATAAGGTAAAGAGTATGAATTAATGAAAAAAAATATATTTTATTGATTTGTTACATTTGTACACACACCCTGATTCCCAACAACTCTACTGAGTGTTTGTGAAACTAAGAGAAAGATATAACCAATCTGAATGAAGGTGGTCTGATCTTATGCAGTACAGTTGATAAATACAGAGAGGGAAATGAAAGTTTAGGTTTAAAATTATGAATGGTTAATATGGAGAAAGACTGTGTCATCTAGATTGTTCTTGGTTCCATTGATCCCTATTTTCACACACACCAGAACAATCAGATTGCATATTAGGACAGTTGTATATATTACATGATAGTTATAGTTGCATATTACATTCTAATGAATGGTGATCATGGAAGTATCAGGAATGTGTTTTGGGAAAAACTACAACATTCTGAATGAATGTGATCCTGCAAAAAAAAAAATCATTCAAACAGAAGATATGAATGGATGAGTGAGAAGAAGACAAGTATAGATTAGAAGTCTAAGTAATTTGGAGAATCAATAATGAATGCCAGTGGTAGTTTGGTGAATAACTGCTCTGAAAAAGATCTGTTTGCTTTAACCATGTCATTTAAGCATAAGTCATGCTGTTCAAAACTCTGTTGGGTTGGAGCAGCATATAAGCCCCAATAGATAGATAGATAGATAGATAGATAGATAGATAGATAGATAGATAGATAGATAGATAGATAGAGACAGACAGACAGACAGACAGACAGACAGACAGACAGACAGACAGACAGACAGAGTGCACATGGTAACACTGAATGAATCTAACGGTACACCTGAACTGGTTATTATCAAATATTGAATTAGTGTAAGATATATGCATAAAATGTCCTGAATGTGGGACAGACCCATATACCAGAGTTCAAGAGAGGATCTTGGAGAAAAATGGACAGAATGGAAGAACAGAATGAAAAGAAAGAAGTGAGAAAACTGGATTGAAAGTAGAACAGCTGCAGGAAGAGAAAGTATATATCTTGTAAGAAAAAGCATTAGAAGACAGTCTAATCTCCTAACAAAATGAATGAAAGAGGATCTAAGGAGAGATTATGTAGAACAGTGTTTTCCAAACCTGGCAACTTTAAGATGGACAGACTTCAACATGGCTGGCTGGGGAAGTCTGGGAGTTGAAGTCTACACATCCTAAAGTTGCTAAGCTTGAGAAACACTGATGTAGAAGCTACTTGGAACAGCCATGTTACAAAGTGCCACAGAAGTGCATGGCATTACACTAACAGGAAGCATTAAAAGGATCCTTGGTGAAACAATCAACTGAAAGAAGATGAGAAAAATGTATATACAGAGAAAAAGACAGCTGCAAACAATGTAGTTAAAGAGAGCAAGGAACAGTTATACCTAAAGGAGGCTGAGAAAATGCAGAGCAAATTTGATGGAAAAAAATAAATGAAAAGGAAATTATAAAAGCTGTGAGAATATTGAGAATGGTAAAAACAGATGCGATTTGTATATGAAATGAATGTACAATTTGTTCAATATGTCAACTCATTGTTAGCCACCCAGAGTCATGTATCTGAGATGTGTGGTTGTACAAATTGAATAAATCAACAAATCAATACAGACAGTCCCCTACTTGCGAACTTTCATGTTGCGAACTTCAACCAATACGAACAAGATGGACCCAGAAGTCAGAACTGGAAGTTGGGCCAGAAGTCAGAACTGGAAGTCAGGAGAAGGTGAGAAAGGAAACCTTCTCCTACCTTCCATTTGCACTGGAATCAGAGTTCCCAGAAAGGGTTAGTTTACATGGTGCACTCCATTGCTGGGTGAGGCAGGAGAGGGGGCAGTGGCAGAGGAGAGGGGGTGGAGGTCTCCTGCCTTGCCCAGCAACAGAGCATGCCACACCCCACCGGCTCATCCTTCGCTCCCCTCTCCTCTGGTACCAGCCCCTGCCTCACCTGGCAACACACTGGCAGCAGAAAATAGGGCTCCTCTGCCTGCACTGCTGCCCTGCCTCCTGTCTCTTTTTTTTTACTTTTTACTTGGTTGGACTTATGAACAGCTTCTTGGAACGTAACCTGTCCATAAATAGGGGACTATTTGTAAACATTAAGATTGTGTCTGAGCTTGTTAGAAGAATGTTGTTGTTCCTTTATAAAAAAAGGGAAAAAATGAATGCAAAAATTAGGGATTTAATTTATTAGTATGTTAAATATTCCTGGAAAGATGATTGACAGAATTCTGACTAAAAGTATAAAGGAGGTGACAATAAGCAAAATTCGGGAAGTGCAGTGCAGCTTTATGCTGGGCAGGGGTGTGTGCAGAATAATTCATGAAAGTGAGGGGGAAAAGCCTTATTGTACATTTGTTGATTTAGAGAGTGTGTGTGCATAGGCTTGAATTATTAACAATGTTGTACAAACATGGAATTGAAGGCTGTTTGCTGAATACAATAAGACCAGTATGTAATGGAATTAAGACATTCATGATAATAGATTGAATGCTTGATGAAAGGTTCATCTGTGCAATGTACAGGGAATGGTGCTGCTGTAAAATATATTTAGTTAGATTTTCTTTTCTTATCTCCAGATACTAATTTTTTTCTTGGTTCACTGCTTATTACTCCTTTCATGTCTTTGTATAACCCTGTTTACTCCAAAAGGGATAGCATGAAGAACATATATATTAATTATAATATTAATTAATTATAAATTAATATTTTGAACACTATAATCTGGAAAAGATTCCGACTTGAAAATCTAACTTTTCTCATAAAGGTGTTTTTTATTTATATATGCATGCATATGTGTGTGTGTGTACATATATATATATATATATATATATATTTATATTTGAAAGCATAAATATATTTCTTTGTTATTAATCCAAATGTGCCTAGCGATTCTGTGCTAGCATCAGCACATCATAAATTTCTATGATATACTCCCAGTAAACTATAACATCATAATTCTTTAACTTAAAATGAAAGAATCAGCACCAGTTCCATTAAATAAGGAATTATTTCTAAATTGTGCAGTAGCATAAACAACTGTGGACAGAAAACATTTTAATGCAGGAAGCTCAAGTCAGAATATCATATATCAGCAGTTTAGAAACAGGATATTCCGAATGAAACTGTTTAACATATATTATTTCATGTTATATCACGGTCAACTTATATGAGCATTAGCTTGATAGGTAAGGGATCATCACCAATTCCAGTTCATTTATGTTTATCATATATAGTGGAACCTCGGGTTACGAACACCTCTGTTAACGAACTTTTCGGGTTACGAGCAGCTCTGGCCGCAAAAATTTACCTCGATTTGCGAACTCTGCCTCGGGGTACGAGCAGGATACGCAGCCATTTTCCCTCCCGTGACCCGGTCCGCGGCCATTTTTCCGCCCCTGACACGTGGTCCGCAGCCATTTTCTGCCCTGACACGTGGTCCGCGCCATTTTTCCGCCCCTGACACGTGGTCTGCGGCCATTTTATGCCCTGACACGTGGTCCGCGGCCATTTTTCTGCCCCTGACACGTGGTCCGCGGCCATTTTTCCGCCCCTGACACGTGGTCCGCGGCCATTTTCCGCCC